TCTTACTGCTAGTGGTTTTTCATCTGATATCAGACAATGCAAAACTGAAAGGGTTTGTTGTTCTTAGTGCTACCCCAAATGGCAGATGGTAACATATGACAACAGAAAGGGGAAATAACACAGACCCTCAGAGCCTTGTTGAACTGTTACATGGGCTGGTTGGTTGGACAGAAGAATGTTGGTTAAACTTTAAAATACCAGGGAGAGATGGAAATGGGCTTTCAAGAACCAGGTCTTGCTACATTGAACTTCCCTACATGAAATGCTCCTCTGTCCAGTTCTGTCTTTAGATAAAAATTCCTCCTTTCTTGAACATTAGTCTTTGTCCACAACCAGATGTAAATCATGAGCTATAATTTTTTTTGTAGAACTGTTATTTCAGGTGTTCAGTTTCAGCAGCTCTTCTTTCACTTGACAGCACTGACTTTTGTGGACACTTTGGTCTTTGTTTTTTGCCCTTTGAAGGGACTATGCTCTATTTTGTCCATCTGGTTAAATTGACTCCCTTATCTTCTCGTTGAGGGGAGGTGTTTAAGCATATTTGGAGGTGAGAGACCTGGTGGCAGTTAGGGCTCCATTTAAGGGCATGCCTACCCTGGCCTTGGAGGGCTCCGGCTTAAGGGGTGAAAGGAGGTTGCACATGGCTGTGGACAAGTGACCAGGCTGCTGGAACAGCAAACTATGGCGTGAAAGCCACCTCTCCAGGTCCCTAAAAGTCAGCTTTGTACGTTCCTCTAGCAGACAGGGCCTTCTTTCGTTTTCTTCATGAAGAACAGAGCTAGGCATTGCTGGAGCTGTGCCAGTGCAGGACTTGACAGTGATGGTGCAGTGTCGGTGCAGCCTCTCCCAGCCCTGTCAGACAGGTGTCCTGCATTCCTGGCAAATCAGGGGCATAATGCCAGGCCCAGTTGTGAGTTGTGTTAAAGGATCCCTTGTGGCCTTTCTGCTCTTGTGGTTCTGGGGGGTGTTTATATTGTGAGCACAGGGACCCATTCTTGGCATGGAGCAGTTGCGAAGGTCCCAACATCCCTCAATTCCTCCATTCTCTCCCTTCTGGTTAGGGTGAATGTCAGCCCTAAATTTTCTTCTCCTTTTGACTCAAGTGACTTTTCCTCACCAGGCCATGAGCAGACTTCAGGGATGCATCTGTCTTGTGAGATCAAATGGCGTGTGTGGCATAAGGCAGCATGCAGAGTGCCTTGCTAGCACTGTCTCGGGTCTACAAGTGCTTCTGAGTTGTTGTTTTTATTACCTTGCTGCCCCAAAGGCTTTGGGATGCAGAGTTAATACTAAACCCTTCTCATTTTGGCTCTTTAACACCCAGCATTACCCCGAACGCCACGGAGGACCAGAGCGCCACGGACGGGAATCCCGTGACGGGTGGGGTGGATATGGCTCCGACAAGAGGATGAGCGAGGGCCGGGGGCTGCCTCCTCCACCCAGGTTTGTGTCTAACACCCCACAGTGCCCTTGTGGGCCTCATACATAGCTGACGGACTGGACCCACCGTCTTCAGGGATGTGATGAGCACTGGCAGTGTGACTCAGTGCACTGACCACGGCTCAGAGCATCTTGGAGCTCTTTGAGTAGCATGGGGCCAGAGCCAGTCCTGTTTCCCACAGTCCCCTGAAGGGCTGGGGGCCTGGGAACACAGAATGCTAAACCCACACTCCAGAACCCACTGCTGTTGCTATTCTGAGAGGCAGAGATGGGGGCAATCCAAATCAGAGATGTTTTTTTCCAAGGGGCAGACGTGACTGGGGGGACCATGGCCGAAGAATAGAGGATGACCATGCATGGCAGGGCGCTGCTGATGGAGGCATGATAGACAGGGACCACAAGAGGTGGCAAGGTAAAGACTGGCTCTTTAGGGACCCATCTGTCTGCAGAGAAGCATCTAGAAAACTCAAGCTGCACCTGCTTTTCACTAGTCACTGCTCATCCCCCTGCTCTGAGGGCAGGAGCAGCTTTCTCTGCTTTCCTTCCTCAGGGCCTGGCAGAGGAGATGCCCCTTGATGGGGGTGGGGAGTGAGGGTTGGCGCAGAAGTGTGCTGTGGGTGTTGGTAACTCCTCCCTGCTGTGACTTAGTAAGGACAGCCCTATGGTGTTCTCGTGCTTACACATTCACTGGGGACCTGTGAGTTCTGGGTTGACTGGGTGGTTCAAAAAGGGGACTGGACTTGCCAGAACCCTGTGTCGGTATCCTCTAAACTACATTCTGTGCTTGGAGGCATCTTGTGAAAAGTGTCTCTTGTTTTCTAGGTGGTGAGAGAAGCATGTCTGGTCACTCTGGGCCAGGTCACATGATGAACAGGGGAGGGATGTCAGGGTAAGGCATTCTGTCGGTTGGTCTCTGTACTAGTCTTCTCTTTGCATGTTGGCTTACCTTGGGGAAGGTTTAGAAACAATCAAGTCTTCCCAACTTACACTGCCTCCCCTAAGGTGCTGTGTGCTTTGTTCTGTCATTGCTCCTAAAATGGTGTGGGTATGTCCCCTGGTGCTGCTGCTCAAGGGAACAACAGAGTCCCGAAGAGCGTATGTCCCATGGGCACCAAACAGGTCCCACAGAATAGGCTCTGGACGTGAGCATCTGCATTTGTTCCAGGCGTGGCAGCTTTACTCCAGGTGGAGCCTCTCGGGGCCATGTGATCCCGCGTGGTGGAATGCAAGGCGGATTTGGCCGCCAGAGCCGGGGCAGCAGACCCAATGACGCCCGCTTCACTCGCCGCTACTAAATGCTTGGAATCCTGCGTTCCGTCACGTGGCAACCAGAGTATGTTCTGTTAGGAGTTATCTTAAACTGTGTACAATAAATTTTTTTTATCTGCTGCCATATTGTAGCTCGATACAATGTGAATTTGTTTTTTTTGTTTGTTTGTTTTTGTAATAAATGTGTTTCTGTTCACATACCCTTTATTTAAAGGATCGTCTCTTTTTACTTCCGCCTCTTAAAAATGAAATTATACTTGGCATAGTTGAGTCACAGCTTTTCCTTCAGGGAAGGAGGGCTGAAAGGGGCAGCTTCCAGGGACTGTCAGGGTTTCTAGCAGTCCTGTAGCCCTTGCTGAACAGGCTGTTATGTGCATAGTAAAATATATATGTAACATGAAATTTACTGTTTTAACCATTTTTACGTGCACACTTCAGTGGCATTTAATTCATACTGCGTACAACCATCACCATTCATCTTCAGAACTTACTTTCCCAAATAAACTCAGTAAGCACTAGCTCCCCATCCCACTCCCCAAGCTCCTGGCACCCACCATTTACTTAGTCTCTATGGATCTAACTCCTGTAGGGACCTCACATGAATGGAATTGCATCCTAGTGGGGTAAGAACAAGTTAACAGCAAAGTGGGGAGCTGAGGGAAGAAAAGCTACTGGATACCAGGAAGTGATGAACTCTGCTGGGGGAGGACCTGGGGCTTGAGTGTGGAAGGGGAGTTGCCAGGACAGGAGATGGAAGGAGGCCTTAGGCTGGACAGTGAGGCAGGTATGTTCAGGGACTAAGAGGTGCTTGGAATCCAGGGGTTTGCAGCTTGGCAGTTCTCTCTCAACCTCAAGGAGCCATCTCCCCTCAGCCAGTTGGGGCCTGCTGTGTTCCTTCTCCCAGAGACCAGCCACATGATCTGTGACAACTGGATCAAGGATCCCAGTCAGGACACAGCCTGTGTTCAGGGATCAAGTTCTGCCTTGGGGAAGTTCCTTCAGTTCTATGAGCCTCCATTTGCTCGCCTGTAAAATGGAGCTACTGGGTTGCTTTAAGAGGTGTCACTGTGGGAGTTTCCCCCTCCTGCCTACTCCACTCCCCTAGATACAAGTAGCCTAATTCTCTGAAGGCCACAGAGCAGCTCCCAAGTTCTAGTCCACCAGGATCCCTTTTTATTTTTTTAATATATCTTTCTTGATTTCAGAGAGAGAAAAGGAGAGGGAGAGAGCGAGCGAGAAACATCAGTGATGAGTCATTGATTGGCTGCCTCCTGCACGCCCCCGACTGGGGATCGAGCCCGCAACCGGGGCATGTGCCCTGACTGGGAATCGAACCCCGATTGCCTGGATCCTAGGTTGATGCTCAACCGCTGAGCCATGCCTGGCCAGGCCAGGATCCCTATTGACCACAAAACTTTCTAGGGCCATGATGGGGAAACACATAGCTGTTGTCTGTTTGGATGTATCACCTTGTACTTCCAGATTTAATGAAAGCTGGTTTGGCCCTCAGCCACCTATGGAAAGAGACCAGGCTGCTGCAGCCCATCTGGCCCTAAAGTGGACAGCATATAGGAGGTGGCTCAGGCTTTGCACAGCATACGGCCCTGGGAACAGAGCATCAGCTGAACTTTGCTCTCAGCAGGTGACACAGAGACCCTGAGCCCAGTACATAGCAGGATCCTTAGGGCTCATGTCTCTTGGTCACCTCTGGTTCAGCAGAATTCACCATTCCTCCTTACCATCTTAGCAAAGTCCCACCAGGGCAGGGGCAGGCAAAATAAACTCTGGTGGCAAATGGGACTTAGGTGAGATTTTTAAAATTAAGAACCTTGAGATGGGAGATACCCTGGTTATCCCAGGGTTCTTATAAAAGAAATATGGCAGCAGGGGAGCCAGAGGAGATGTGAGAAAGAGAGGAAGATGACACTGCTGGCTGTGACAATGGAGAAAGGGCCCACAGGCTAAGATATAAAATAGCGTCTAGAAGCTGGAAAAGGCCAGGAAACATTCTGGAGCCTCCAGAAGGAGCCAGGCCTGCTGCCACCTGGATTTCAGCCCAGCTAGACTGCCTTCAGCACTTTTTCAAATCTTTCCCAGGGCCCTGAGCACTGGGGCCAACTGTCCCCACTTCCCGTACAGGGTGAGGGCCCCAGTGGTCAAGGACCAGACGGAAAAGATATGTACCAAGATCAGGTCCTGAGAAGCCCCCAGGAGCCAGAAGCCCAGGCCCACACACACTGAGAGCCAGCTGGGGCAACCCCAAGCCCTTGGGGCAAGCACACAGGTCAGGGAACACTTCCAAAGTCTTTTATTGGGCTGGCAAGGCCAGGAACTGCCCTTGGATTGGGGTCCCACTCTGAAGCCTTGAGGTCCAGGGCATCCATGCCCATTCCCACCAGGAAAGGCAACCTCCTCTGATAGGCTACTTGATTCGCTCCTTCAAGTATTCCCAGCCCTCCTTGGTGTATTCACAGGCCTTGGAAGGGGCCACAGACAGGGCCGACATCACCGTAATGATGCCTGTGGGGAGGGAAGAAGGGCCCAGTGCCTGGTCAGGCTCCCCACCTACAGCCAAAGGGTTTAGTCCAACCCCCTGGGACAACGAAGTAGGCCATGCTCTTAGAGGTGCCACTTCCAGCTGTCAATTCCACACACAAACTGAGGCAGAGGAAGAGGAGGCAGGGCGTGACCTTGTCTGGGGCCACCCGACTCTGACATGCTCCAATGTGGCCCAAGCTCTCAAAAAGAGGCTCCATCTTGCCCCTACTTCCCTGGAACCTCCACCCCTTCCTTTTTAGATGCAGGAGAGGCACACACAGCAGTAAGGGGAGCGATGGCAAGGCATGACCAGGAAGCAGGGTTGGGGGTGCTAGACTCAGGCACCTGGGCCCACCCCCCCAAGTAGAGGAACCAGGGCCTACCTGAATTCCAGGAATCACGGATGTGGAAGTTAAACTTTGGAGGGGCTGGGAGCTGGGAAGAGAGAAGGGAGAACGGGCTGGTGAAAGGGGAAGGGCCTGGCAGCCCCAACCCCCTCCAGAGGCAGGAAGAGCAGCACATGCCCCAGTGTGGAGGACACCAAGCAAGACTGGAGGGACCAGGGACTGAAGGCCACCCCAAAGTTGACTCCCATCAAGCCTCTGCCTCTCTCCCAGCACGGGGTACCTGGGGTATCTTCAGGCCCATCTGTTCACACACGTACTGGCTGAACTGGTACATGGCAGGGGGGACCACCTCCTCCGCCTTCTGAAGGGCTGCCTGGCTCTTGTCGCTGGGCCCCAGCAGCTCCTGGTCGTACACCAGGTAGACCACTCCCCCAGCTACACTCCCCTTGATGAGAAACCTGCATACAAGGAAGGGAACGACAGCAGCTCAGGGAACACTGCTGGCCACTCTCAGGGAGACTAGGCCCATGGGAGTAGGATTTAGACCCCCCGCCCAGAGAGCCCCACATTCCAAAAAGGGACACGTTCGAAGTTAGGCAGCTAATAAGGAAATGACAGGTCACCTTTCTAGCCCAGAGGCATGTCTGACCCCTACTAGGCACAGCACTCCATTTACAGTGTGTAAAGCTGGAGTACTCCGCCCCACTCAACTAGTAAACTGAGGCCCGCAGGACCGTGGGTAACTAACGATTCCCCACAGAACAGGGAACAGTGAAAACTTAAGTCCCATGACTTCCTGCCTTCTCTTGTCGCTCGAGGAGGGACCTTCCGCGAGCAACTCAAGAGAGTTTTCCAAGTGTGTCTGATCGCTTCCCGTATGTCCTACGCCGCTCTGGGCACGCGCATTCACCTCCCAATAAATGGCGTGCAGCACTCCCACTTTACAGAGAAGGCAACTGAGGCTTGGAGAGACCTCATAGTCCGACAATAGGAAGGCAAGGGCTCGCGCGACCTCGGTAATCACCTCTCCTCTTGAAACTCGGTTTCCCTATGTGGGCCATAGGGCACCTGACACTACGGGAAACAAAGAGCAAGTAGGGAGCAAACCAGAAGGGGGTGTCCGCAGGAGGGAGCTTTCTTGGGAGCTCAGGGCCCGCCCGAAGGCAGCACGCACCTCATCATCGGCCACACTCGGGACACCATAGTCTCTCGATTCCTCGCGGAAGGACAGTCGGTTCGCCCGCCGCTTCCGGTGGAGAAGCCGCAGAGGCCTCTGGGAAGCGTAGTTTCTTTTGTCAGCCGCAAAGGCCTCTGGGAGTCGGAGACTTAACTGCCCAGAAATGCCCTAGGTTGCGGTCCCACCGCAAAAGGGCGCGGGAAAGCGTAATTAATTTTATGGGCCGGGCCGCCGTAAAGCTATCTGGGAACTGGCGTCAGTACTGCCCCGTGAGGCGCTGGACTGCTCGCCTAGCCGCCAAGGCTCCTGGGAAATGTAGTCCTGTCTCTGGCGTGAATGAAAAGAGGAGTAAGGTGTCTGGAGTGAGGCCTGAGGTTGACCCAAGAAGATGTCGGAGCGCCAGAGACCCACCGGCGACCGCGCGGGGTAATCAAGGCAAGGGTCTAAGAGCAGTATGCCTAGAAGCCAGTTGTCACGACAACGCGAGGGCGGAATTGTTGCAGAGAGGAGGGTCTAGGTCACGTGAGCGGTTTCGAAGGGTGGGGGTTGTTTTCGTTCAAGAGACTGAGCCAGGGCTTCAGCTGCGAGCGGAAGAACCTGCCAGGAAGCCGTTGCCCGGCAACGCCCAGACGCAGAGTCCTCGGGGCCTGGCCCTGCGGGGTGAAGAGGCAGGCGCTGAGTCAGGTGGCTCAGACCCTACGGGAGGGGGCGCGGTCGGGTGCCGGACTGGCGTGCTCGTGGCTCCCAGTCAGGGACCCCAGCCCCGGTGGACGGCGGAAGAAACTGAGGCTCGAGTCCGTGAGTGAGCAGTTGGGAGCTCCGAGCGGGTCGCACGTCCTTTTTGTCCAGCGGGAAAACCGAAGCCAGAGAACCAGTGGATTGTGCGAGAATCTGGTTCTCCTATTCCTTCCCCATCTCAGCCCCGCTGTTTGTTCCTTCCATCCATCCATCCATCCATCCATCCATCCATCCATCCATCCATCCTTCATCCTGCTTCCCACCCACTCACCCATCTATCCATCCATCCATCCAACTCCGCCAGGCCCTGTGGAGCTGCTGTGGTCAAGGCCAGGGGTGGGAAGAGGGTTGAGCTGAGGGGCTTCACGGATTTTGCCTGGAAGTGAAGGAGGTGGGAGCGCATTTCCTGCTGAGAGAATGCTGCTCTCACTGGGGAAGGGCGAGAAGTTCACTCTTCTGAGAACTGATTCCTAGGGGTTGGGGAAGATAGGAATGGACAGGTGGGCAGAGGCCAGACCCCCTGAGCCTTGTTGACTGTGAGGAGCTTGGTCTCCATCTGGGGCAGTGGCGAGCCCGTGGGAGGGTTTAGAGTAGGAAGGGGCACACCAAATTTCTTTTGACAAAGACCCATTTGGCTGCATGGATAGAAAGGTGCGGGAGCCAGGGAGGAGGCAGCTGGAACTTTGTTGTGGGGGCAAAGGACATAAGGCTGCATCTAGAGATTGGGGATGTGAGAACTCCCCAATCGCACCACCTTTCAGCCTCCTGAGTCCTGGAAGTCCCCCTCTCCTCTTTGTCCAACTGAGTCCAGGGGATAGAAACCCCAAGATGTGATCGGCCTGTGCCTTTTTCATGGGAGACCTATGACTCCCCAAACTTTAAACACCCAGCCTGTTTCTCTCTTTTGCCTTCTCCCTGGAACAGGTAAATCGCTCCCACAATTGAAGTAATATCTTAACTCTCATGACATGGGGACCTTCCAATTCCTCCTGGGTATCTCCAGAGTGGTCGTTCTGGACTCCTTCAGCTCTTGCCTCCCACATTCTTGTGTCAATCAAGTATCTATTGAGCACCTACTATGTATGTCCCTGGCACAGTTTGGGGCGCTGAAGACCTAATAGTGAAAAACACCCGAAGCAGGTTTCTGTTTCCTGCCTGCCTTCATGGGGCTGACAGTCTAGAAGTGAAGGACAGTCAACATGAACCAAATAATCAAGGTGCTTTTAGGTGATGTTAAGTACTGAGAAGGAGATAAAAGTTCTAGAGGTAAGGGAGAGGAAGGGACCAGGAAGGGAGGCACTTTAGAAAAATAGGCCAGGTGCCTTAGCCAGTTTGGCCCAGTGGGAACTGAAGGGTCCCAGGTTTGATTCTGACCAAGAGCATGTACTTCGGTGGCAGGCTCGTCCCCAGGGGGCCCTGGTTGGGGTGCACGTGGGAGGCAACCAATTGATGTGTCTCTCTCACATCTATGTCTCTCTCTTTCTCTCTCACTTCCTTCCACTCTCTCTGAAAAAGCAATGGGAAAAATATCCTCAGGTGGGGATTTAAAAAAAAAAAAAAAAGGCCAGGGAAGCACCATGGGAGGAAGTAATTTTTGTGCTGGAGACTTGAAAGAAATAAGAGCAAGCCATTGGATTATATGTGCAAAGAGCATTTTGGGCAGAGGGAACAGCCACTACAAAGGCCCTGACACAGATGGTGACTGGTTGGTTCTCAGAAACAGGAAAGAGACTGGTGTGGCGTAAAGCAGGGTGAGCAAGAGGGGCTGGTCCATGGAGGGCCTTTTGGAGAAGAGGGGCAGGTCCAGGGGTCAGGAGGATCTTCTTCCAACAAAGGTGCACTTGGGGAAACAGGTGTGGCTGTGGGCCAGGACTCTGCTGGCCACCCTCTCTCACTGCAGACCCAGGGAGGGCCATGAAGGTGCTGCTCCTCACTGGGCTGGGAGCCCTATTCTTCGCCTATTATTGGGCTGACAACTTTGACCCAGGTGAGTGCCTAGGGTGGGACAGGGAGGAATCCAGCCAGCTGTTCTGTGAGCCCCGCCCCCAGGCTGACCACCCCTGCTCACTGCCAGCTAGCCTCCAGGGAGCTCGTGTGCTGCTGACAGGGGCCAGTGCAGGTGTTGGGGAGGAGCTGGCATATCACTATGCCCGTCTGGGCTCCCACCTGGTGCTCACTGCCCACACCGAGGCGCTCCTGCAGAAGGTGAGACACCCATTTCAAGTTTAACAGTGGGGGCATGAGTGGAATGGAAAATGGGGCCTGGGTTTGAATCCCTCCAAAGATCCAGGGCTTCCCATATGACTTTGGGCAAGTTGCTTAACCTCTCTGAGCCTTAATTTCCTCATTTGTAAAATGGAAACAATAAAAGTACCTTCTTGTGGGCTATGGTATTGGATGGATGCAGTAAGGCAGTGAGTGCAAAGCAGGGAGCGTTCCTCAATAAATGGCAGTATTGGTAGTGTCCAAAGCCTGTGAATATAGCCAGGGATCTCAAACTGATAAGGGTGGTGGGTGGGCTTTTCTTAGCAACAGAATGTTCCAAGGTAATGCACAGCTCTTGAAGACAAACCTTCCAGAATTTCAAGAAGGTCCAGAAACCTTGAGATTTATTTGATATCACCTGAGTGTTACATTTTGATTGAGCAAATGAAACAGCTGGCAGTTTGCCACCCTAGTGGTAAAGCTTTGGGAACTAACTGAACAGGAAGCTCAGTAGGGGAGAGGGCTTCAGGCTGGGGACCCAATGAGCCTGGCAGGTGAAGGGAGCCAACTGGGGTGGAGGGGCCCACGGGCAGCTCTGCCCCCCCCCCCC